AAAAAAAGTGCATAACGATACAATATTTTACCATAATTATATACATTTCTTTCAACATCCGTCTTTACCTCCAGGAAGTCTCATAGTCAAATACATAGTGCCATCGTTCTGGACGTTATATTCTGGCAGTTTTTTATGGTTTTCTCTTAATTCATAGGTTGTGTAAACAAGTCTTTGTTCATCTACTGGGATTCCTATTAAAAATGGTTCAAAATGAGTGATTACCATCATTGCTATTCTAAACTAAAATTATATATACCTTCACGTTCCTGAATTTTCTGTTTGACATTTTTGACGCTATCATCCCTAGACACCCTAAGAGTAATCGTTTTTCCTGAAAGTACAACTACGAACAAGGTCATACACAAATACATAGTCCCTTCGTTCTGGAAATCATAGTCTTCCAGCTTCTTTTCTTTGTCTAGTTCTTCAGTTTTGTAGACAAGCCTTTGTTTACTCACTTGGATTCCTATTAAACATGTTTCAAAAATGAGTGACTGACAGCGCACATGATTTTCCAAATTAAAATTATACCTTCAAGTTCCTGAATTTTTTCTTTAACACTTTCGACGGTGTCATTTCCAAACACCCTAAGAGTAATCTTTTTTCCTGAAAGTAAAATTACGAACAGGGTCATACACAGAAACATAACCCCTTCGCTCTGAAAATCATAGTCTTCTAGCTTCTTATCGTTATGTACTTCTTCGGTTATGTAGACAAGCCTTTGTTTATTCACAGGGATTCCTATTGAACAATGTTCTCAGAAGGAGTGACCAACAGTTCGCGTGCTATCCCAAATTAAAAAATTATACCTTCAAGTTCCTCAATTTTCTGCTTGACATTCTTGACAGTGTAATCTCTGGTTACGATTAGAGTAATGTTTTTTCCTGAGTTTAGGATTACGAACAGGATCATAATGTTTATTAAACCTTTGCCTTGTAGTTTGGCTAATTTCTCATAAACTCCAACCACAAAACAGAGAAATTCTTTAATAGAACATTTTGTCCTTATATGGCTAAAAACAGCGTGATTATACACTAAAAGTGCTTTCCTTTCAAAAATTCTATCTGGATTGAAACATTTCGGAACACTCATGACAAAAGAATGCAAAATTTGTTGCAATGTCTTGCCCCTTAACGAATTCACGATCTCTACTACCAAGTGCGGCCATAAAGACGTATGTCACGCTTGTCTTAACAAAAACATTAATTATCAATTGAATACAAAAGGTAATGCTGAAATTGAGTGTTTAGAGAGAACTTGCAAAGTTTTGATGGAATATGAAGACATGAAGCGAGTTGCCAGTAAAGATTTGTTTGAAAGGTATATACATATTTCAGTATCTAATTCGTTACAGAAATATATTAATTAAATGTTTTATATATATTTTTTTCAGATATGACCATCTTTGCTTCCGTCAAGCTATACGACGAATGCCTGATTTTCGATAGTGCAAAAATCCGAATTGCGGATCGGGACAAGAGCATTTTGAACGAGGTTGGAAATGAATTCATTTGTATTTTAATTGAAAATGAGCTCAGTTAATATCTAATTTTCCAATAGACGATGCTCCAATTATGATTTGTGTCGCATGTAAAAAAATGACTTGCTACACACATGATGTCCTATGGCATAAAGGTCGAACCTGTGCACAATACGATATTGAGAGACAGACCACCGAAGGCGCCACGCGTGATACTATCGATCGCGAGACCAAACCTTGTCCTAAATGTCATATTAGGATTTTTAAGTCGGGTGAGGATGTGTTCTTGACCTTACGTTAAATTACTCATTTGAATTAATGTTTTTCAACTTATAGATGGGTGTTCTCATATGACCTGTGCCAATACCGGATGTGGACACCAATTTTGTTGGTTGTGAGTGCCAATTTAAATTTTTGATATTAATCCTATTCTCACATTTAATTAATATTTTTTTCGAATATTTAAGATGCGGTGCAGATTATAAACATATTCTCTCACATGGCAACAATTATCACGAAAAGACGTATGAGTTGTACGGTAAAGCACGGTACCATTTTTAGAAATAACTGGATATGATTACCTTACCTCTAAAAATCATCAGCAACACAAAATAATATTTGTATCCTATCTGTATATTTTTTAATTATAGCGTTTTTATTACCCAGATCCTACGATATAACTATTCTCTTTACATTGCTTCTGAGTGTGTCAAATTTTCTTTTATTTTGGTTTTCGAGAAATTGATTTGGTATTTGGGAAGTAATCATAGCCATCGTTTCCAAAGTTTTGTTGGACTGTTCATTTTTTCTTATTCCTATAAAAGGCATGCGAATCAAAAAATATGATGAGAATCATAATATAAATAAACTTACTTGTATGCATCCAATTTTAATATTACGAGATGGCCCCATTTAATAAAAAAATAATAAGAATTTTTTTTTGATAAAATAAAACATTTAAATATATACAGTTTATATCTTATATAATTATATCTCTCTTAAAATCAAAAAAATTAGTGTGATAAAAAAGCTTATAAATATAAAAAAGTATATTTTAATAAGTTTATTATTTATTTCAATATAATAAAAATATATTTATAAGTTAAAAATAATTAATAGTAAAATAAGGTTATTATTATACAGTCATCCCTCTCTATTGTCATCCCCTATACAATCACATCATATAAATCCCTCATTATAAGCATACATTTTGTAAGAACCAATACCTATTAATGCTATATAAAAAAACCCTTTTATAATAACAGTGTTTCTATAGTCACACCCTTTCAGAACTAACATTTAGCAATAATATATAAAAAATACCCCTATATAGTAACTTTTTATTATAATCACACTTTTTATTTTTAGTCTTGAGGGGTATGACTATAAAAGGAAATGATTGTATATATTATTTTTTATTATTAATTTATTATTATATTTTATATAAGATTTGTTGTTTAAACTTATTTAGATTTGGAAAAATATTTAATTTTTTAATTTTTTACTAAGATTTTAATATACAGTCACACCTCGATATAATGAAGTTGCTGATCCAGCCGATCAGGACTTCGTTATAAGAATCTTCGTTAACGCT